GAATGGGATATTTCTGGGACCTGTCCAGCCCTGGAAAAGTCTTGGAGCCTTCAGAAGCTGAGGTATGGGATACAAACCTTGATACAGCTATCAGCCTGGGGCTTGCTGATAGTAACTCCATAATTCTGGATCATCTTCCAGTGGTGACTCCTGACCATAGCCAGGGCCATGAGCATTGCATAAATTACACGAGAATGGGTTTATGATTAATAGCACACACTATGAGCAGCATGAGCTCAGAAAAGACCTTCCACCAAGGGTGAAAATCTTTCCTCCATGTTTCCCAACACCATTGAGACTGAGACACAGAGAGGGGTTACCTGAGCACACCAACCCAGCATCTTCTCCATGCTTGCAGTTATGGGACCCCCAAGACTGGGCCCTACACTCAGAGAGGGCAGCTTCATTCCCTAAGCAATTCACATCGTCCAGCCAGATGGGTGCCAAAAAGGAGCGAACCCCGGGGCTGACAGCGCTGCCCCGCAGCCCAGCTGCCTGCACACAACACTGGCTTCAGCTGTGTCCCAGCCGTCATCACACACGGTTCCCCACTGCTGCTCATGAAACACCTCGACTCTCCCAGCGCAACGATTTGGACCGTTCACGAGCCGGACAGGAGCTGGTTCCGCAACACCTGGACCAAAACACAATGGCAAAGTGTTCGAGGAGCTTTGCATGCGTCAGAGGTCTGTGGAGAGGGCAAAAAACCCTCCTCACAGGGGTCTTGTGCCAAAAAAAGTTGTGGACATGCATGTCGATCACCAGAGCATGTGAGTTTTGATACTTAGATGAACCAACTTGTACCTGCAGCAGATTACTACTGGAGAGACCTTCAAGGAGCTGAACTCTTGGCTCAGGGTCCCAGGGTAGGCTGCAGATGCCGCCAGTGTCATCACTGGCTACACAATACTCCTATTTTCTGCAGAGGTCAAGGATGGCCAGGACAGCCTGTCCCCCTTGTTTTTCCTCCCCAAATCACCTTCCTAGGAATATTCCCCAGCCACTGTGGCACAGGTCTCTCTGTCACAATGCTGTGCCGCTGTGATTTAGAGTGGAGAGTGCCCTTTACCTCACTACTCAACACAACCCTCCCGTACATCACTCACTGACAACACCCCACAGCACCCGGGCCTGCCTTCTCCCCGGTTGGCCCATACTGCAGATGGGATTTTAGCTACCTAAATACACATGCCCATTTTGGGAGCCAATTTATTCTGCCTGGTTTCCAGCTGCTGCTCCAGAGGAGCACCAGGTCCTTCCTCATATTCCCCAGCACCGTGCAGGTGTCTCGGATCCCCTAAGAAATCTAAAATAGCACTGGATTCACTCCTTCTGTATCTCATCTGAAAGTAACACCATAGTAAAACATGTCCCCCAGGGCCACAGTCAACTATTCCTGAAACATAGCCCCCATTGCACCCCACATTACGTGGCATAACAGTACCTGAGCAGACCACACCGGCATCTTCTCCATGGTTACAGTTGTGGTCTCCCCAAGACCGTGCCCGGCAATCAGAGAGAGCAGCTTCAGCCCCTGCACAGTTCACATCATCCAGCCAAATTTGGCTGGTTCCTTGTCCAAACCGAGCAGAGCCAGGTGCGGCGACTGCTGCCCCACAGCCCAGCTGCCTGCACACCACGTGAGCATCTGTTAAATCCCAGCTGTCGTCACAGACGGTCCCCCACTGCTGCTCATGAAACACCTCGACTCTCCCAGAGCAGAAATTCAAACCGCTCACCAGTCGGATCGGGGCTGGTTCTGGAACACCTGAACCAAAAAGGTAAGACCA